CCCCCCCGCTCCACGAATCCCATTGGGGGGTCGAGATCCCCGCTGTGGTGGGCGGAGACGCCAAAGGCTTCGAAAACCGCGAGGGAGGGAAGGATAAGGGAGAAGAAAAGGACGGAGAGGGAGGGCTCGGAGGCCCTTGGAGGGGGGGATGTGCCCATCCGAGGGAACGGTGCACCCCCCCCTCCCCGTCGTGAAATCGAGGCACCAGCCGTGGCAACGACCCCCCCCCTATCCCCCTCCGCGACCTGAGTAGACCACCCAGGCCAGCGGAGGACGTCATAGGGGGCGGGGGTTCTGACTTCGATGAAAGAAGAGAAGGAAAGAGGGGGGGGGGATCAGGCAGACGAAAGCCCTTTTAGGCTTTCCCCGGCGTGTGGAAATGCCCTCTTTGGCTTTTGCGGGGACTAACCCGCGCGGTCGCCCGCAGGCGACAGGGCGCCCAGGCCCTCTCCGCGCGCGCAGGCGCGTGGCAAACTACATGCGCACGATCGCCCGTGGAATCGAATGGAACCGTCCGCGGCGAGTCGTCCGCGGCGACTCAGGACCACGTCGCCCTGGAAGAAGAGGCGCTACAAGGATGCATTCTGCGACGCTGGACATCCTGATGCGACGAGGACGCTGCAGAGAAACATTCTGCGCGCGTACGCACGACCTGGAACGACAAGCACAATACTGGAACAAATTCGGTGACGCTGGACTCCCCGATGGGACGAAGAAGCAGCAGAGACACGTCTCAAGGCGCAGCAACACCGAAGTGACGCAAACGCACCCCGCGACACGACAAGGACGCTGCAAGAAGAAACTCGGCGACGCAGGAGTGCGTGGAAGCTACAAAGGCATGGAAAGGAAGCTACGAGGAAACTACAAAGTATTCAAAGCGTCTCGAGCTTAGGGAGCGCAGAGACACGTCTCAAGGCGCAGCAACACCGAAGTGACGCAAACGCACCCCGCGACACGACAAGGACGCTGCAAGAAGAAACTTGGCGACGCAGGAGTGCGTGGAAGCTACAAAGGCATGGAAAGGAAGCTACGAGGAAACTACAAAGTATTCAAAGCGTCTCGAGCTTAGGGAGCCTTCCTCAGAGCCCTTGTGCGCACGACTCGGGGCAGCCGGCCGCCCTCCCCTCCTGTTCGTCCTCCTCCTCCTCCTCCTGCTCGTCCTCGTCCTCCTCCTGCTCGTCTTCTTTCTCCTGCTCCTCCTCCTCCTCCTCCTCCTCCTCTTTCTCCTGCTCCTCCTCCTCCTCCTCCTCCTCCTCCTCCTCCTCCTCTTGCTCGTCCTCGTTCTCGTCGTCCTCGTCTTGCTCGTCCTCCTCCTCCTGGTGCTCTCTCCTCCTCCTCCTCCTCCTCCTCCTCCTCCTCCTCCTCCTCCTGGTGGTCCTCGTTCTCCTCCTCCTGGTGCTCTCCCCCCCCCTCCTCCTCCTCGTCCTCCTCCTCCTCCTCCTCGTCCTCCTCCTCCTCTTCCTCCTCCTCCTCCTCCTCCTCCTCCTCTCCTCCTCTCCTCCTCCTCCTCCTGGTAGTCCTCCCCCTCCCCTCCTCCTCCTCCTCCTCCTCCTCTTCCTGGTCGCCCTCGTTCTCGTCCTCCTCGTCTTGCTCGTCCTCCTCTCGTGATGTTCCTCTCCCCCTCCTCCTCCCTCTCCTCCTCCTCCTGGTGGTCCTCTCCTTCTCCCTCCTCTTGGTGCTCCTCCCCCCCCCTCCTCCTCCCTCCTCCCTCCTCCTCCTCCTCCTCCTCCTCCTCCTCCTCCCCTCCTCCTCCTCCTCCTCCTCCTCCTTCCCCTCCTCCTCCTCCTCCTCCTCCTCCTCCTCCTCCTCCTCCTGGTACTCCTCCCTCCTCCCCTCCTCCTCCTCCTCCTCCTCTTCCTGGTCGTCCTCCTCCTCCTGGTCGTCCTCCTCCTCCTGCTCGTCCTCCTCCTCCTCCTGCTCGTCCTTCTTCTCCTGCTCCTCCTGCTCCTCGTCCTGCTCCTGCTCGTCCTCGTCCTCCTGGTCTTGCTCGTCCTCCTCCTCGTCGTGCTCTTGCCCCTGCTGAAAATGTAGCCCAGGAATGGGAGTTTTGGGAAGTCGAAGAGCACGAAGTTGCCTACAGTTGGCTACGGGCATTCAAAATGTGGCCCGGGAATGGAGTTCTGGGAACTCGAAGAGCACGAAGTGGCCTACAGTTGGCTCCGGGCATTCAAAATGTGGCCCGGGAATGGAGTTCTGGGAATAGAAGAGCACGAAGTGGCCTACAGTTGGCTCCGGGCATCCAAAATGTGGCCCGGGAATGGCGTTCTGGGAACTCGAAGAGCACGAAGTGTGTGACTGTTGCATCCGGCCCCCCAGAATGTGGCCCGGGAATGGCGTTCTGGGATGTCGAAGAGCACTTTGTGTGTGACTGTTGCATCCGGCCCCCCAGAATGTGGCCTGGGAATGGAGTTCTGGGAAGGCGAAGAGCACGAAGTGTGTGACTGTTGGTGAAAAACGAGCCCGGCTCATGCCGCCCGGAAACGCCCCAACACCTGCCCGGACCCCCCTGTGGAGTGATCTGTGAGCTATTTTGAGTCAACTAGAAACCTATCAGTCTTCGCTGTTAGGTAAAAACTCCCCCTGGGGCTCCGGCCTTTAAGTTCGCACAAGCTGGTCCAAGATGGCCTCCAAGACTGCCCAAGGGAGTCGAGGATGCCTCCAAGTCTGTCCAAGAAGCCTCCAAGACGGCCCAATATGGCTCCAGGATGGTTCAAGACGCTGTGAGACGCCCCCAAGAGGCCTACAAGACGGTCCAAGAGGCCTCAAACAGGTCCTCCAGGAAGGCCCGAAGAGTCCAAACTCATTGATGGTCCAGCGGTTTTTGTCAAATACGTTGGTATTCGCTTCTTTCTGGTCTTCTACCGGCCCGAGACGGCCCAGGAGCCCCCCAAGATCGCGCCAAGATCGCCAAAGAGGCCCCAAAGATGGCCCCAGAACGGCCCAAGAGGCCCCCAAGACGGCCCCAAGAGGGCCCCAAGACGGCCCCAAGAGGCCTCCAAGACGCCCAAGGTGGCCTCCAAGACTGCCCTGGAGTACGCCAAGCGGGCCCTAAGTCGGCCCCAAGAGGCCCCCAAGACGGCTTTCGACGGCGTCAGACGGGCCAGGAGCCCACCAAGACGGCCCAATATGGCTCCAAGATGGACCAAGACGGCCCAAGAGGCCCCCAAGAGGCCTCCAAGACGGCCCAAGAGGCCCCCAAGAGGGCCTCCAGGAAGGCCCGAAGAGGCCATATGCATGAATGCCCCATAGGTTGTTCAAAGAATGTGGCACCTGCGTCTGTTCGGCCTTCCCGCGGCCCGAGACAGCCCAAGAGCCCCCCAAGATCGCGCCAAGATCGCCAAAGAGATCCCCAGCATGGCCCCTGAACGGCCCAAGAGGCCCCCAAGACGCCCCCAAGGAAGCCCCAAGGTGGCCACCAAGACTGCCCTGGAGTACGCCAAGCGGGCCTTAAGTCGGCCCCAAGAGGCCCCCAAGACGGCTTCCGACGGCGTCAGACGGGCCACAAGATGGCTGAACGATGGCCCAAGACGTCCCAAGAGGCCCCCAAGAGGCCTCCAAGACGGCCCAAGAGACTTCCAAGAGGTCATCCAGGAAGGCCCGAGGAGGCCCGAATCAGGGATTTGGGCAACTGCTTCTGTTCAGCCTTCCCACGGCCCGAGACGGCCCAAGAGGCCCCCAAGATCGCCTCAAGATCGCCAACAAAGCCTCCACGATGGCCCCAGAACGGCCAAGACGCCCCCCAAGAGCACCCCAAGACGGCCCCGAGGAGCCCTGAGAGACCTCCAAGACGCCCAAGATGGCCTCCAAGACTGCCCTGGAGTACGACATGAGGGCCCCAAGTCGGCCCAGAGAAGGCCCCAAGACAGCCAACGAGGCCCCCGAAAAGCCCTGCAAGGCCCCCACGAGGCCCAAGGAGGCCCCAAAAATGCATCCAAGATGCCCTCAGAAAGCTCCCAGGAGGCCCGTAAGAGTGCCCCCCGGAGGCTCCCAGGATGCCCCCTCCTTTTCCTCCTCCTCCTGCTCCTGTCCCCGTCATCACCCGAAGGGTGTCCACAACGGCTGGGGGAACACATGGTCCGATAGCTTGGCAGAGCTCTTGCCACAACTCGCGGCCACATGGGGGATTCCAAAAGGCAGGGGGCGGCGGTGATTCGCCGTAGGCGTCTTCGATCCGCCGCCCCCTGTCTTGTTACAGGGGTGCACGGCGTGCCAGACGTCTGGGAGGTTTTATATATTTTCTGAAGAACTCCGACTGGGGCTTCGGCCCAGCCCGCCAGCCACCCAGAACGCCGCCGAAAATGCGGTCCTCATTGGTCCCATCGCATCCAAGGTCCAAGACGGCCTAGATGGCATACAAGATGCCTCAAAGACTGCCAAGATGGCCCCACAGGAGCCCAAGATAGCCCCAAGATGGCCTCCAAGACGGCCCCAATATGCCTCCAAGACTCCCAAAATGGTCCAAGACGGCCTCCACGCGGTCCTCCAGGAAGGCCCGAATAGGCTTTCCAACCACGTTGGTGCATTTCAGGTCTACGGCCAGCTCGGGTCGTGGCGACCCTGGCGTCGGTTTCTGACACCGCGTGGATCGTCCAACCTTCGATCGGCGACTTGTTGATCGCCCGATCGTTCCACATTGGCCGATTCCGGGCCAATGGCGGCGTTCAATCTTGGATGCCCGCGGCGGGGTCGCCGTCGAATCGACACGACACCAGCCAACCGTTCTCTGGTCTCCTCCCCCTCTTGTTCCATCTTCGTTTGGAAACGGGAACGAGAAACGTTTGAAATAATCGCAATGGAAAAAAACACAACAACACCCCAAAACGATACGCTCTGAACGAACCACTCGAATCTATAAAGTAAAACCAAAACGAACCCCTCGCTCCCTCTTGGGACTCCCTCTTCGGACTCCCTCTTTGGTCTACTCTGGTCTCCTCCCCCTCTTGCTCCCCCTTGGGACGCCCACTCCCCTTCCTCATTGGAGGGGTCGCACGCCGCACGACCGGGTAGGTCTCCAGGTCTGCGATCATCCCGTGCGGGATCTCTATGTCGGCTTCAACCTCGCGAGAACCCTCCCCTCCACCATCAAGGGGTGAGGGGGGGAGAGCCGCCGATGCCAGGAAACCGGGGGCATCCTCAATCAATCAATCAATCAGGGGAAGGGGGGAGGAGCCGCCGTCGTCGAAGGCTAAGGAAACGGGGGGAATGGGAGAGGGTGGAGGAGCCGCCGTCGCTCAGGAAACGAGGGGACATTCGGCCAATCAATGAAACCAATCAATCCATACATAATTATGTCTCTTTACTTGTTTAAAAGGCGGTCACCTCACACAGGTCCACTCAATTGAATGTTTCCCCATGGATTTTCCATTGGACGCTCCTGCAAGACGTTCCCTCGGCCTTCCAGGCCACCAGGATGTTCTTGCTGGTCTCAAAAGCGAGTCTACAGCGGTCAGGAGGGCGGCCAGACGGCCCCGCGAGAGCCCAACGCGGCCCCCTACACCCCAAATATGCCTCAAGACGACCCAGCAAGAAACACCCAAGAGGCATGATTTCTATACGAATTTGCAGGATTGGGGGAACTCCGTTCTTCGGTCTTCCGTGCTTGCGAGACCACCCAGGAGGACACTAAAGTCTCATCAAAGACGGCCCGAAGGCCCGGTCGTTGAGACCATGGTTAGCAGCAAGGGGGCCCCAAGAAGCCCCAATAAGCAACCCAAACGCGCCCAGTAGGCCTCCAGAGGACCCTCAAAACGCCACGAAAGACACTCCAATGAGTAGACTCCGCCATCAAAACACACATACAAACATGTTTATGTATGTATGCTTGCATGCATGCATGTGTGTATGCATGTGAACACAGTATGTATGTATGTATGTATGTATGTGTGTATGCATATATATATATATACATATATATATACATATATGAACGTATGCATGCACACGTGTAAGAAGGAAATTATGTACGTATGTATTTATGTGCGTGGCCATATGCACAGACATGCATGTATACGCATAGCTAAATGACATACATGTGTTAGTAGACATGTCCCAAACAGTGCCTGTACTTAGGCTCTTCTCATTTTCTAAAAAAAGGAAATGGACATGTGGGGCGGTCTGGCGGCTATGTCGTCGCAGTCGCCGCCTCGTCGCCGCCCGTCGTCTGGGCGCCTTTGTGGCGGTCTGGCGGCCATGTTGTCGCCGTCGCCGCCTCGTCGACGCGCGTCGACTGGGCATGGATGGCGGTCTGGAAGCGGTGCTGTCGCCGTCGACGCCCCCTCGCCGCCTTGTCGCCGCCCGTCGTCTGGGCCTGGGTGGCGCTCTGGCGGCTATAGTGTTGCCATCGTCGCTCCGTCGCCGCCCCGTCGCCACCTCGTTACATAAAGAAGAAGAAGAAGAAGACAGGGGCAATTATGCAGTGAAGGGCCAGAGCGAGAGGGGGAATACCACATGTGATAATATGAATGAAAGAAAAACGCCAAAACATCTTCGTACACATCGTCCTCAATCTCTCTCTGTCGCACGCTCCGGCTGCATGCGCAACGCAAATTATCCCGCCTGAGCTGCGGCCCCATGGGGCCTCGTCTTTCAAGGGGGGCGCCTGGCGCAATGAAATATGAACGTTTGTAAGGACTACGACAAGGTGAACTTGGGACGGGAGGGTGCATTGCAGCTCCGTTGACACATCTTGGGTTTGTCTGGTCCCAATCGTCCACCTCCTCGTTCCGCCCTCCTCCTCATCCTCCTCCTTCTCTTGCTCTCCTCTTCCACCTCCGCCCTCCCCCTCCCTCCTATGCATCCGCGACCTCACTTCTAAGTCTCTCCCCGTCCTCATCCTCCTCCCCCCACCCCTCCTCCCCCAACCCCTCCTCGTCGTCCCCCTCCTCCTCCTCCTCTTCCTCCTGCTCCTGCTAAGGGGTCGAGGGTCCCCACCCCCAGCAGGGCGCCCGCGCGCGCGCGCGCGATCGGCCCCTGCGTCGCGGCGTGGCGCCGCGCTGCCGTGCGCCCTGGGCTGCTCTCCGCGGGCGGCGCTGTACGGCACATTGCAGGACGCTTGGCAGGCGGAGGCGCGCGCCGTCTCCATCCTGGCATCGGAGGCTGCGCAGAGCGCGGGCCTCAGCACGGCACTTATTACAGGTCGAAGCGGCACGATCGCTCCTGGCAGGACATCACGGTTCGCAGTTGTCAGGGCCATGCATGGCAGGACGACCGACTAAGTCCAAGGATGTGGTTCAAGTGGAGCCCCGTTGGGCTTGTGCTGCTTCTCGCCAATGCGGGTACCAGCGGAACTTCGCCAGCAACAGTCGCTGCTACCAGTGCGGCAGAGACCGTGCGGGGAAACCAGATCCAGCTGGCCCTCCAGAGCGACGATATGGCCGCTCACCAGCTCCTCGACGAGCGGGCAGCAGGCCGCGAGGAGGCAGCAGCGCCAGACGAGAGCGCTCTCATGCAGATGCTGAGCCTGATGAGCATACGTCTACAGATGCGGTGTCACGGGCCCGAAAGGCCGTATCAGCGCTCAAGAGGCTTGGCATCGATGAATATTCTAGCCTCCTGGTGGCCGCCAAGCGTGAGCTACAAGAGGCAGAGGAGGTGGAGCGCGCCAGTCGCACACCAGACGATCAATTACGCAGGGCTCTGGACCCACAGCAGCAGAAGACGCGTGAAGTCGAGACCCTTACGGCAGCGGCGGCCGAGTTGGAGCAGGCATTCACCATCAAGTCTGCTGAGCTCAAGGTCGCCAGGGACGAACTGGGCGCCATCACGTCCGAGGTCCAGGTTGCACGTGCTGCTGTCCTGGCCACCTCAGGAACGGCGTCCCCTGCCAACACTGGAGCTGCATCGCACGGAGAGGTGGATGAGTCATTGGAACGTCTTGGGCGAATTGCGCAGGCCGCGGGCAGCGCCACGGCTGGCAACGAGGCCACGTACATTGAGCCGCTCTCAAAGCAGTCCCATGAATTGCGTGCAGCGTTTGCCCGACAGCGGGCGTCGCTATCTACATCAGCTACTCCAGTGGCTCACACAGTACCAGTACCAGGCACGCCCACGGCATGGGACGCTCAGAATCCCTGAAGATCGGGACATGGACCTGGGCCAGCGAGACGGCACGTGACATCGACAGCGATCTCATCTGTCTGGCGATCTCGGCGCACCACGGCGTTGTCGAGCCCGCTACCACTATGCCGCGACAGCACGCGGACGGACGCATCCTACCTTTGGAGCCGAGCGAACGCAGTCATCCTGATGACGGCTTTGGTTCACAGTGGCTCCCACAACCTGGAGAGCGAGCAGTTTTGTCTGTATCTGGGGCGCACAACGTTTGCTATCCCCAAGCAGAAGCCCCGCTATCCCAAGGACGTGACAGTACCAGAGTTTTGGCGGGTCTCGACCCCGCGTCGTGGGAAGCACGGATGCAATCGATAATCCATGATGGAAAGGGGCATCCGCCGCATGTACCTGCAGGGTCGCATGTGGGCCCTGGGCCGCCGACGGGTGGCAGCAGCCCCCAGGGCGCACATAACGAGGACAGGGCCGCTGACGAGCGGGTGGTCGATGCCCCTGTCCTCGCTGGCGATGTTATAGGTGGGCGCGTGCAGACTCCCATTGGTAACGAAGTCGGCGTGCAGCCAAATCATCACGACCAGGCGGATGCTCGAGTACACTACGACGAGCGCGACGTACGTCGCCTACGGCCTTGTCTCCGCCCGCGCCTGAAGTCGAGTGACAGCGAGATCGAGACAGGTGGGTCGACGCAAACATCCGCAGCCTGCAGCTCGAGCAGGACGCGAAGGGAATCCTCAATCCCGTCTGCGGGCGTCGGTGCCAAGTCCGAACAGAAGCCTCAGGCTTCGCCCCCTCTGCTTGCCAGTGGTCGGCCAGGGGTGGGTTCGGATGCGGCATGTGACTCGCAGGCTAACAGGGAGGCGTCCGTCCGCCACGTTGCTGCATCAGACTGGCTGCGGCACAGAGCGCCGAAGCGGACCACTGACCTATGCATGGTCGCATTCAACAGCTCAGGCTGGCCTCAGCTACAGGATTTTCTACAGGCCACTCGAGGTTGCTCCATCGTCGCTGCCCAGGAGCTGCATCTACACGGGCCTCGCCGAATGATCGCTGAAGAATGGTGTGCGCGGAACGGGTGGCAGCCGCTCATTACGGATGCGATCCCGACGGACGCGGGACACGTCACCGCAGGCGTCGGTCTCCTCGTCCGCAAGAACATACATGTGATCCCACTGGAAGGGATGGCTCGAGGACATACTATTATTCCAGGATGTGCGGTCGGTGTGATTGTGCAGACGGACATGCGGGGTGGGTTCCTCGCTGCATCTCTATACTTGGAACAAGGACAGCGACTCGGGGGACGTAACACGGCACGGCTGGTGCATCCTGGCGCGCTTCTCAGCTACTATGCGATGCCGTTCGTGGTCGCAGGAGACTGGAATGTCCCACCTGATGTCATGGTCAACTCTGACTATCCCTTGCGGCTGCGGGTAACTATTCACGCAGGTAAGCAGGGAACCTACAAATACCCTGCCACAGGGAATCTGTCTATTCTGGACTACTGGATGGTCTCTGACTTCCTGACGACGGTCCTACAGCAGCCGACCCGGGTGGGAGTGTTTCCCGCACGGCAGCATTTTCCTATGGCAGTACCGCTTGGGCCGCACCCTCGTGGTCAGCAGCTTTGCCGACTGCAAGGGCCTGCCGTCTTCCCGCATAAGACCACTACGACACCTGTTGCGCAGGTAGATGCGGATGGCGAGTCGTGCTACTCCCAGCGTGGTGACTCCAGCGTGGACTGGATCAACCTCATGCGGAGTGATTCTGAGAAGGGGCATGGTGATGTTACTACTCGTGATCAGCGATTGCAGGATCTCACTGCCGCCCTTTATAATGGAGTGGAGCGTGAGCTTCCTCCACTTTTCCAAACTGAGCAGCCCGATGCAGCGTTCTGTGGCCGTGCCGATGGCCCACATTATGCATATACAGCTGCAGGAGGTGCTCTCAGTCGTCAGCAGCCTGCTGGGGCACAGCAGGCACGTGCGCTGCGCAT